GACTGAAGATCACACTAATATTTTAGAGAAAGAACAGAAAGACTAAGTATTAAAACATAGAAGGAAAATCCTACAGTCAACCTGCATTTCTTCATGACCTTATCTTGATTTGGGGTTAGATAAATACTAAGGATACATCCATGCAACTGCCATTCCCTTTATATTCATGAGAGAAGCAGATAAAGCTTCCAAAGGTTAAATTTTAACTTTGTGAAAGATGCTTAGTTAATGATTTAAAAAAAAAAAAAAAAAGCCATGCTAAGCAAGCAGAAATTCATTTTTCCCCCCCTCTCTGTAGATTTTGATCATGGCATTTCACTGTTAGCCAAGAGATTTTTACAACTCATACATCTCATTTACAACTGAGACCTCCAAGTCTACTCATAAAAATGCCTTGGAGAACTTTCAATTTACAGTATATATTTGCAAGTTTGATCAACACTATAAAATGAACACTTTATTGAATCCGATTTATTCCTAATTGCCAAAACCTGCTTTCTCGGAAACTCAGATGAAGTTTTGCTGCAAAGGAAAGACCCTGACATTAGTCAGCTCTGCATTGTTAGAAAAGCAGCCCATGCATCTTTGCATTATCGCATTTGTAGCTCTCAAACACTTTCCAACTGCAGATGTGTAGATTAGATTTAAAATGCTCCATAACATGGTCTACACAGACCTCTGCACAAGCCTTTCTGGCTCCACATCAGTGAGAGCATGATTTCACAGTCATTTTTTTTTGTTGAGAGAATATGGCAGTTGCTTTAGGGAAGGTGAGATGTTTAAATGGATCAAAACTGGATAGGTCTTGATAAAAATCCACTACAGTATTATACTGCCTTTGAATGTGAGCGGTGTGAGCAATTGTTCGGAATGTGGATACTTCCCTGCTCATCCTCATCCTTTCCAATACGGGCAAGCTACGAGACAAGCATGAGCAGCTCCTGGGACTGCAGGTTGTGTCCTCTGTGTACAGCATATACGAGACTCTGCCACCTCATTCAGCGCCAGTTAGGTGTTTCTCCAACACCTCACACCAGTCCAGGTGATCTTAGGGACGCAAATCTATCTTCTGATACTGCAAGAGCTTGTGCAGTGCTCAGAAGAGCATCCAGATAAGCAGAGAAAGGGTCTGATGAGCTGGAAGCCAGACAGCAAGGACAGGCAGCCCAACTGCACACCCCAGTGCAGGTATGTTCAGCTCAGTACATAAGATTAGGACCCACGGCAGTTGTTTGTCTCAAGCCACCAGTTCACCAAGGCCTTTAACCCGAGCGCTGTGGCTCATTCAGCTCCAGGCAGCCTGACGAGCCCTCCCTGCAACCTGGAATCTGGGCAGGGACTAAATAAGGAGGCGCAGCACAGGATGGGGGTTGCTCAGTAACGAAGAAAAGATGGGTCATCCAAATAGGCTAAGTGAATATCAATATCAATTTTATTATACATGTAATCAAAATTAAAAAAAATAAACAAAAAACAAAAAACCTCAGACAAGAGGGAGCAAGGGACAGATTTATCTGGCATCTCTTAACTACCCAGGGTACAGAAATACAACTAAGTAAAGAATTAGCACACATCAGTACCCTGTGCTCCCCTACCCTGCCCCAGTGAAAGAGGTCACACAAGCGAGATCAGTAATGCTTCAAATCAAGCTTCCTCAGTAATCGCACACTTGACCTGACACAGTTGAAGCACGTTCAGTTTCAAGACAGAGTATGCATCTTAAACAGCTGTTTTAAACAACACAGCATCTCTTTAGTGGTTTGTAAGCATTACTCATTCAACACCAAGAGTATACTTAAGTGACTAATGACTTTTGGCAGTTGTAATTATCTTGTTATATCCAAACTGACACTATCTTTAAGTACATCAAGTATAGAAAATATATTCATTAGGTTTACCAATATGTAGTAGAGAATATATTATCTAGTGGCAAACCTTAATGTAAGATAAGTGGCTGTCAAGAGCAGAGCAAGTATTCACAGGGAAGGGGCCATGGCGCTTCACGCTGAGCAGGGAGCATGTCGACTAGTCAGAACTAAAAGCTCTGAAGTTCAGGAGCGTTAGCTGCTCAAGAGCAACACCTCAGTATCCCTGGGGTAAGAGGAGCGTCGAATCACCTGGTTCGAGACACGTGCTGTTAGCACCACGTCTGCATCAATCTCCCAGCTGAACACACGACCCTAGATCCTCGCCACCACCCAGCGCCTTGAACGGATCTAGCCACATAGCCATGTTCTGCAAGGATGAGAAAGTCTCCCTTCTCTTCCAAAGGAGCTTTGAAAGCAAATCTGGAGCATTATCAGCACTTGCTTACCCCTTCAAACAAATTTCCTTCCCAATTTACAGGGGTGAAGGCTTTCACAGCAGTAATCTAACTTCTTATTTTACTTTTTTTCCCCAAACACAGGCTGATTTTTCTCTTAATACCTTAGAAATAAGCATTCACAAAAAAAGCCTGAGCTATAGAGCACGTAGCAAGATGAATCAAATCTATGTGACAAATGCTAAATCCCAAGTTGAGGGCAACACAAATTTTGTTATTCCCACAAAAGAGGGATTTATTTTTTTTCCACTGGTCCAATAAGCTTAGCAAATTAGCAGACTGTCAGCAATACTTCAGGAAAAGACCCACATAAATTTAGACAAAGCCAGACCTAAGATAAGAGTAACTCATGTATTCTGCATTCTAATGCCCTTGTTGGACACTACCAGCCTTTTGGCTCAAGGCTCAGGTGGACCATGATGTATTAACTATACTCTGATCTTCATATATTAGCTACAGCATGGTGCAGAGAATATTACAATCAAGTTAGAGAACTAGGAGTTGAGATCCTAACAATCATAGCACCACTTCTTTGCTGCTGTAATAGAGGCAGTGAAATCCCTTAGTCCTCTGCCAAGAAGAGCCCATTACCTGGGCCAAGTGACCTGCTCGATTTTTCTGTCCTCACAGTAAGCACCTGCTTTCAGAAAAGGTCTAGAAACTCTCCCAAATTAAGCTCTGTGCCATACTGTCTTGGCTTTCAGAGAGTTTCAAAGCAAGTTCTCCTTAGCATTCAAATGTTAGATTCTTACAGCTGACAGGCCAATATATTGGCAATATCTCAGTAGCTAATCCCTGTAAGAGCCAGCTGCACAATCATAGAGGCCTCCTGGCTCTTCTTCATGCTTCTCAGCTTTGAGATGGGAATGGATCAGTACAGACATCCCAGCATTAACAGACCCAGGTGTGGGGCAGGGTGGGGGAAGCAGCTCTTCTGTACCTCAGCAATTATTGCTTTGGAAAGCCTCAGTATTTGTCAGTTTTAAGCAACACCAAGGCAGTATTTAGAATTATGCTGCACTTTAACAGAGACAGCTTGCTTACCATTAAAGAATCATCAGCCTTTCCACAGGAAAAAGTCTCTAAACTTTATCTGGCCATTTTTTCTTAGCCATTGCACTTAACAAGGCAGATTTGTTCAGCTTCCCATTCTAACAGCATTATAGAGCTGTCAAAGCATATGGTTCATACCTCTAACCTGTTTCTAAACTAGCGTAGCTGAGCTATACATTTTAATAAGACCTACAAAAGTTTGTTACCTATGCTAACTATTTAAGAGCTTAGAATTGTCTGAAGATTTGCCAGCTACCTAAACAGGTGTCCCACAAAAGTGATTTCACTAATAACTGAACTTGAAGACAAACACTACAAGAAAGCCAATAAAGGAAATCTTGCACAATCAAAGGTTCTCTTACTATCTCATCAGAAAGAAACTACCTGCCATTTTAGAAGTATTTCCTCCTTCCATAGGAATAACCAGTATACCTTTTGGAGACAGTTTAGACAGTGACTGCTCAAAAGTATTTCTACAGAATTGCTTTTTGGAAGAGAGAATAAGTTACTTTACTATTTGCACGAATTGAATTGACTAAACGTGTTTTACGCTGATAACACTTTAGCTACAAGGTATTTATACAAGATGCATCAGCAGAGAGAGCATGTTGTTAACACTACACGTAAACCGGTAACAACGGGTCCTTTTTGAGGGTGTTGTGTTGCAGGGAAGCCATTTTTCATTAGTCCAAGAGGCTGTGGAGCTGCATTTCCACACCAAGGAGAGTCCTGGTGAGCCCAACAGAAAAAGCGTCCTCTACAAAGATGACTGTCCATCCTGGAAGAGTGGCAGGAGAAGAACCAAGCAACCAGTGTCTGCAGTAGTATCTTAAGAAGGATTTCATTCATTTGATGCATATTGCTGTACATAAGGTGCATAAACCTCTCTGTTGGGAGATCAGCGTGAAGAGAAGCCAGTTGCAAGGCTGCAACCAACTACTGGTGTCATGTCCCAAATCTGAAAGAAAATATTGTGGAGAATTATACAGAAATACCACTTAACTTTCAGAATATTGTTATATCAGAAGTAAGAAATGATCTCCCTGGACACAAGGTCCACAAGGACACAATCCAATGTAAATTAACTGCACAGAAAAAGACGTAAAGAACAGCACTAGTCTTGCAAACCAGCAGGCAAACTTGAGGCTCAGGAGTGTCCTGGGGCTGCGCCCTGCAGGTCTGTTTGAGGAAAAAATACATCATTCTAATCTACATTTCACTCCCATAACAAGAGCTTTTAGTGGCAAGGCTGCAGGCAGCCAGGCAGCTCAGATTAAAAGGAGCCTGCACATCCCATCACCCATGGTTATTTAAGGCCACTAGCAGATACCGCTCCTGCTGATGGCTACTTTGTCTGTTCAGAGGACATCAAAAGTAGCCAGCTTTGACAGCTGCACTAAGCCATGTAGTAGAGTTACAGGTCATGACCGTGTTCAGCTGCAAGAACAACAGCATGCAAAAAACATTCTCGCTGCTCACAACAGTTAGCTTGGTAGCCACAGCTGTCAGAAAGGAAAAGGTATTACAAACATATCTATTAGCTTCCTACTAAATATCTCCAGAAAACATAGGAAAGAGGTGCATGAATACCTTCACAACCCGGTCGCTCCCACAGGTCACCATCAGCCCTCTGGAGATGTCCATGGACATGTGTGAAATGTTGTGTTTTCCTTCATGAAAGGTTGCCAAGGAAGTACGGCTGTAAGCAAACAGTTCACATGAAAGCCAGCTTGCAGGTGGAGCTGTATGACATCATTTTAACAATACAAAATGATGTTAAAGTTGTTTGAGTACTAATAAACTCAAGAACAGTTCCAAGAACAGCACTGGCATCTAAAAGTGTACAGAAATAACGTAGCAAGTCATGCTAAGTCATCACTTGTGCAGTTATATAGGCAAGGCATTGCCTGACTTCCCCGACTTGGCTCTTAATAGATCTAGAGCAGAAGCGGAACACTGCTTGAATAAAAAACTGTACTCTCAGTTAAAAAGTCAAGCTGGGCTACATTTTTCCTTTCCTGAAAGGGATAAACAAGGGCACAGCACCTTCACTACTCCCCTTTTTTCATTTTTTTAAGTAAAAAATGGTCATTTGATGACTTCAGTTCCTTAGTGCTCAAAGAGGATCTTCCATAGGTAGAGTAGTTAATGAGACAGTAAGCAGCGTTTAACTACTTGCTTGCAAATAGGATTGCCTGTGAAGAGCACACCTAAAGCAGCAGTTTTCAGTATGCATACATAAACTAATGCATACAAAGCCTGGCAGCTGTGATGCTTTGCCAGCTACCCACCTTGCAATTTTAAGGGTTATCAATAGCCTGTATGTAAAAATAAATAACAAATAACCAAAAATAAAATAAAACCCTGATTTTAATTTCTTTCAAGCTCCAGAACTGGGGTTATGGGGAAGACGACAAGCGGACTGGATTCCAAACAGTAACAGCACATCTGATCTAAACGTTCTTGCATAATCAGTTTAGCGATCTCTGCACTACAGTCTACTGGGCACCCAGGGCAAATATGGCTTGTTAATACAGTCAGCTTGGCCTGTTTGTGTTGGCTCTACATCTGTGCACAATGCTCCACAAATTCTTCTGTACGCCATCGCCATTGCTTTATAACACAGAGACCCTTCTTAATACTCACTCCTCATCCTTGATGGACTCAAAGCAGGAGTCGCAGACACGGACCTGGAACTCGAAGCCCATGATAGGGTAGCTTGACCGCTTGGTACTGCACTTGCCACACACTGCTTGTCCACATTTTCTGCAGTGATGCTGCACAGAGAGCAAGGGGAAGGAAAATCACCACCCTATGCCATTCATCTTACTGAATGTTCAGTAAACAGCAGCAGCCTGCTTAGAAGTATTCAAGGATTCCTTCCTTGCCCACCCTCCCCTCCTTGCATGAGTTTCTCTGGGGAGCAGGAAAAAGAACTGTTGGGCAAGCAGCTAAGGAAATCAAAAAAGTCAGAAATGGATGACAAGCATTTGTGCCTGCCCAGTCCCTCCAAGCGGGGAGCTGTTTGGAAAGCTTCCATAACTGCAGCACAGTAAGCACAGGGCCATCAATGCTTCAGTGAACTGGGTTCTCTCTGCAGCAATTAGGCTGGCAGTTTGGTTGTTTAATTATGGGACATTGTCTGCCACTTAATACAACACAAAAATTAGCTGTCCACAGCTTCAGTGCACAGAAATATTCAGAGAAATCTCTGTGCTCTGAGCACAGCCTGCTTCACCACATGAAGCAAGTTCCACAGCATTTGGATGTTCTTAGCAATGCCTAGAAGCTGTGACCTCTCAAAAAGCCTTACTTCAAAACAGCAGAAATATTAACACTTTGAAGGATGAACAGCTTGCTTTACATTTTCTTTTTGCCTATGTCCTGAAGAACTGCTAATTCAGACAATCTCACCTGTCTCAATCCTAAAGTCTTCGTGTCCCACATTTGCTTTATATTCCAGAAGAAAGGTTGTTCACACTTCTGACAGGAGTCACTTTCTAGCCACTGAGGTGCCTAGGAAAGAACAGCAGGTAATCAGACTTGGTTTTCCTTGTAAACTGACCAAGGAAATTTAAGTTGCCACAGTGAAGCTTCCCCCAGAGAGATGCTCTACCTCAGCTCCAGGCTGCAGCAGAAGCCAGACTGCCCAGTACATGGGAAGTTTGGTACAAAGAAATCAGAAAGGGAATGAGGCGGCACTCGCCAGCTCATAACTACAGACATTTGTTACCAAGACCTACACACTTCCCACACCTTTTTTCTAAAACCCCAGAGCAATATGTGATGCTACTGCCTTAATAAAAAAGCTAATTCAAATGCCTGAGTTATTAAACTTGCCAGAGGTGTTTGAAGACTGCCACTCTGATTACCTAAATGATTTCTAAGGGCTAGTAATCCAAGTTAAAGAAGTTATGAGGCAGTCAGCCTCTAAGCTCTTGTTTTCATTAAAAGATCATTTCCAGAAGTAAATCTCTGTTTCCCCAACATTGCAGAGGCAGTTTGAAATAAAAAAAACACTCATTTGTATTTTCCATGCAACCTACGTCTTCATTTAGTATCTGCTCTCCCACCCACTTATATCCTCCTGTTGGTAAAGGGTGCATGCTAAATGAAAATAAGTTAGAGATTTTACAAATTTCAACATCCAAAGACACTAACGGAGCACCCTTTAGGGGATAGAACAAGGGACAATAAACCTTTAGTACACAGATTTGTGTTAAAATTTTATACATGACTTCAAGCATCTGATGGAGGAGTCTCTCTGAAATTTGACAGGAAAAAATACTGAAACATCAAGGGATTCCCCCTACCCATGCACTTATCTTTGTCAGTAACAACAAAACAATGGTATGGTCAGTCGTATCACCAGCTCACACTGAACTCATTAATAGCCAGATGTCCCATTTTCACTCTTTGAACCCTGACTGCATCTTCTTTCCCTCATGCTAGTGGGAAAAAACATTGTAACAGGCAGTAACCAGGGCAGTTCAGGGAGCAGGGAGGAAGGAGCAGGTCAGCAGCCCCTCCAGCTGATGTTCTGTTTTGCCTAGTTACTTAGAACAGCATTTTGCCCTTAATAGCATTTTTAAAAAGTCACCAACACCACTTTGTGGCTATGCTGACTCCCTCTAATGGGGAAGAGGGGGATATTTTCTCATTCTCTACCTTCCTTTTAATGCCTGAAAATTAGATGGAAAACCTACCAACAGATGGTTAGAACAGCCCAATATCAGTTCAACTTTCTGTGGAGTTAACACTTCTTATTCACATGGGACTTGACAGACTAGACTTTTTTTGAACAGGTCTATGGATACTCCCATAATCTTAGTAGCTAAAACTTCAGAGATGTTCAGCACTCCAGACACATCTAGTCAAGCCTAGTCCACAGGCAAAGAAATTATGTTTTTTCAATAGGTGCTGAGACTTCAGGCTTTAATTCTATTAAAACTGCTTATTATTTTAGAAGATCCCTTAATTACTGTGTGCAGATCCAAAAGATAAAAATGGTCAAATCTGGTTATCCCAGTTGTATTATGAACCACTTGCTTGCAACAAAGACTCACAGGGCTAAGAATATCATAGAATATTGAGTTCTTTGTGTCAAAAACATTTGAGCTTCACATAATATTCAGTGCATTTGTTGAAGGTGGTAGACCAATGCAAGACATAAAACAGTCCTTAACCACAACTATTATATTTAAGGAAAAAGTGAGGAAGAGAGCTGCAAAACAGACAAAGCATGACACAAAGCTGTGTCAGCTCAAAGAAGGAAAAAAACCTTTGGCCAAAGACACGATCTTACCTCTTCTCTGCTGATATCCATGTTCCAAACAGCAATTCCCCCATCAGCTGAACAAGATACCAGCTGCCGTGTCAGCTGGATATAGCAGATAGCCTGCACCTTGTCGCTGCAAACAGAGCAGATAAATTTTGTTTAATGCTTAAGGGTAAAGTCTAGGTTTCCAATAAATCCTGTTTCCTCCTTGTGAATCTACCGTGGAATGTAAACCTGACTCACAAATAGCTCAGTTACTAAATGTTACCACATCTAAGTGGAGCAATGAAGACCAGGGAACAAATGCTGGCATCGCTCTAGCACAAGGATCTTGACTAGAGCACTATTCTTATGGACTTGAGCAGGACGCCAGAGATGCAGCTCAAGTTAACATTTGCTGGCAGTAAACTACTGACAGTAATTTGAGCATCAACTGTCTCAGAGCATGGCTGTGAATACATGTGTTAAAAGGAGAACCAGTTATCAAAACAGAGACAACTGGAAGTGTAAAGATTCAGCTAGGAAGCAGATGGGGATTCCACTTTTGCTAACAAATTACAATAACCATGTCTGTTGCTGACAAGTAAAGCAGGTATTCACCATTAAGAAAGATTATGTTAAAAGAGCCATGGCAAACAAAGTCTATCCTTAGAAGCTGTAGAAAGGATCTCAACACTATTAAACCGTTTTGCAATCTCCAAGTTCAATTAGAAAAGCCATTCCACTTCTGAGATAACTTACTTTCTCATTCGGTATGAAGTTTGAGGCTAAGTGTGATGTTTGAAGAGAAACTAAGTGTCTAAGTCTTCACCAGGCCACAAGATGCAGCAGTAACAGCAGTATAAAGTCCTCCAGTCACTGACTTCAGTTACATTATTGTAACCAGTACTAACATTGATTCTTTAGCCAAAAAACTAAATTCTCAAGATTTAACAAGAGTTCTAGTGCTAAGGTTATCAGTCTTGATCAAAGGTGGATGGAGGCATCTAGGGAATTAGACAAGAGGAGAATGCACTATACAAATACATCTTTAAATACATGAGATCTGTACTAACACTTCATTTCCAAGTAGAATATAATTTGAGTTGTGAACTGCTTGTCAGATTGAATTAAGGCCCTAGATTTAAAGATGACAACTAGGTATTGCTGTGTGTCTGTACAAATGAAAGTGTTGACTAAATGCAGAGAGGTAGTTACACAGCCCTCTAGAGAACAGTGCAGATATGACATCCTTTTCTGAAGTCTAGATACCAGCCCATGTAATAGAGCCAATTAGGTTATCATCTCACACATAGAAGGAGACAGAAGAAAGGGAAATATTGAAGCTTATTTAAATACATACACAAACACACTTATACATTAAGTTTTTAGCTCCACCCTCAAAAGTGTCAGTGAAGGATTTACGGTACAAAGGGCTTAACTTCTAAATAATTAAATCAAAGCAGATGACTCAGGTTTTTTACCCACCTCTTTCTGAACACTGTTTTTTCTCATAGTCTTATACTCACATTTTGTAAGTATGCAGCATGACTTTTCTAAAAGCAAGGCTTCTCTAATATTACCTCTTTCCCCCTTAAGAAGGGGGAGTCTTCAGAGCTCTGCAAGAAGTACTATCCTAGCCCTTAAACTATTCAAAGATTCAAATATCCTGTCATGCTCCTTATCCTTCCTTGGACTTCATCTGTTCATTAGAAAGCACGTAGGAAAAACAAGATATTATACATACTGATGGCCCTGGAGCAGCAATGTTCGCCCCTTCCTTCCACCAATATCCCACATGATAATGCTGTGGTCAGAGGCACCCGAGAAGAGCAGTCGCTGAACAGGATCCCACCACAGGGAAGTAATACTTCCTAGGAAAAAAAACATTGTGCAGTTAGATTTAAGAGAGTCACTCTACGAGAGTTTTAAAGCTCCCTTCCTTTCATTGTTTGGTTGTCAAGTGCCTTGATAATCTGAAAGTGAGATAAACTCTAATTACAGCCCAAATCAGTCTTTCCCAGGTCTTCGGAGCAAGAAGTTTGTCTTGCCTGCTTTAGAGTTATGCTGTTTCAGATAGACCCATTTGGGAATAGGTGTTTCCACTGAGAGAACAATGACCCCTCCTTCCCTTCCAGGCTATAAGAAGCAGTATTAATATTATCTCTTAACATTATAGACATCAGCCTGCTAAACACCGAGAATGCTGGAAGCAGCTGCTTGAAGGACAAGCTCCGAAATCATTTAAACTACAAAAGTCACAGTAAAGAAAAAGAGTGGAAATACAACATTTCAAGTCTGGAACACGGCCACACTTGAAGAATTAGCTACTACTTAAATACTGCATTGCCAAGCCTTGAGGATATTATGCAAATATTGTGAAGGGGAAAAAGGGACCTGTTTTTCCTTGGAAAGAATGACACAATTACTATTATGCCAAATGAAGAAAAGAAATGGTTTTGCCCCCCTACATCAACCAGCTCTCATAAAAGCTCCCATGAGGAACATGTTGCCCGCTACACAAATAGCTCTGTTGAAGTCAGGGCATGGGAGCCCACCTGTTATTATTCCATAAACAGAGTATCTACCAGACAGTACCACATCCAGACACACTAATTTCAGACTAACATTCGTCTCTGTCAAGACTGCTGTGAACTCCCATACAAGTGAACGCATCTATAGAGTCAAGAGTTATTGTGCACTCAGCTGACACAACCTTAACTTCTGCTTGAAGAAAGGAAAAGGCATTTACCATCTGAAGATCTCAACTTGCCTTTCCCATTTAGAGGCAGCTTTGTCATTTTACAGCCAGCTGTAAAGCAGGAGTCTGCCCCTCTAGGTCTGCTCTGTAATTTCTGGGCATTACAAAGAAACCTTTTCCAGAGGGCCAGACTTATGACCCACTAATTCAGCCTAGCGGAACAGCAGACTGGTCAGCTGATTTGAAGGTAACCACATGGGAAAAGGCATTACATCTGACATTTCTTTCAGTATATTTAAAAGTTACACATTCTTTTGTAAACCACATTCTTGCCTTACTCAATGCATGCAGCTGCTCTGTATCAGGTTACAGACTATCTGGTTCTACATCTGATTCAAGGGCTTCAGCATAACACACAGAACGAGATGCATTTGGCTTTGGCTTGACAGCTTTCATTCCAAAAGGCTCTTTACTTCTTGCATATAGACCAGTTTCAGCTAAAACAAAGAAAACTGAGTTTCCTAATAACTGACCAAAGTAGAAGACTTCTCTTTACTGGGAGGAATTGAGTGTTTTTTTAAATCTAGGCTGGGGCTTGCTCCAGCTGCTTTAGCTAATATTCTTGTGATACAAGGCCACACGGAAAAAAAAGAAGTAACATTCTCGTCCTTTTTCCATGCTAAGGAGTCTAAACTCTTTAAAAGGTGGCCATCTAGTGGATAATTCACATTTGATCAAACAAACATTTTCACTCTTGTATCTTATCTACAAAAATGGGGCTTGTAAGTGTGCAGAGGACTAAAGGAAGGGAACTTTGGGCAAGAGCACTTCTCCTCTCTAAGGGATGGTCAATACATACAAGTGTAAACAGTTTCTGCCAGCTACAGCCCTGCACCAGTTGTTCATCCACTACCTACCCACAGCAGGGGTTATTTAATTGGAACATACCACCCCAATTCACAGAACGCTACCAGAATGGAGGTTCTGTGGAATTAAGAAGTTACTTTACCTTCATGCCCTTTGAGTGTTGTGATAACTGAGCACGTGTTCTGCTCAAGCTTGAGAAGTGTGATCTGTCCAGAATAGTCACCAACAAATGCATGCTGGGTTTCATAATCATATCTGAATAGAAGTCAAGGAAAAGACTCATTTTCTCTTATGAGTGTTTCAAAGCCTGAAACAGGTAACACGGCTGCTACCTACACAACAAAAATCAGAAACAAAATTGAGTTTGCCAGATAAGTATTTACATTACTACTTCTGAAGTGTTTGGACACTACAGTAGTCAAATCCTTTTCATTCCTCTTACTTTTCCCTGTATGTGCAAACAGGACAATATGGAAAAGAAGTGAGAAACTGGAAGATAGAGTCTCTTATGGCATCTCCTGCGGCCTTCCAGTACTTTAGCTTTAGGCAAGCAAGTACGTTTAGATGTAGCACACATTTACAGAACACGATCCTGTATAAGATATGACAAACTGCCTCAGGCTACTTGTTACACTACAGAGCTATCATTAGGAGCACTGGACTGGACACGAGCTGCCATTTGGTCTCACCTAGTACCTGCTCCTAAAATGCTAGGAGACTGAGCTTATAGAAATACACCAGCTGATGCCCCGGGACAGGACAGAACCACCCAGATTCAGAGATGTGGTTCCTCCGCAGCTAGCTCACCTGACAGCAAAGCCATACTCCCACTGTTCTAGCTACTGAACAGGCAGGACCATCTCACTCTTGTTGCTCTTCCCCATGCTTTCGAGCTTGCTGGTCCTTACTATCCAGGATTGACAATATTTCAGAAGGAGTTCTGCCATGTAACATGGATATTAAAAAAAAAAAAAAAAAAAAACACTACTTCCTAACATGGGATCTACTAGCACAGTGGGATGGTTGGAAAAGAGCATTATAGAAAAGTTCTGTGATGTTCTGTTCTTGTTGCTACTTGAGCGTCTTGAAAAAATAAAGGAAAGCAAGAAGGATGAAACAAGGTCATTTTAAGCTTTTAGAAGGCTTCTAGTATTCAGAATATAAGAGCTACAGAGGAAAAACACACACACCTGGCAGCACATAATCTAGGAGTTAACTCACCAGTCTTCACATACAGTTACAGGTATTAGAGATTTTTACAACATGCTACAGACCAACATCTCAAAATCAGGAACTAATACATACTAAGACTTCTGTAACTCTCAAACTCACAACATCCTTTCACTGCCTCACAAGAGTGAATAGAAGCAAAAATATTAAATATCTGATGAGACTAAGGGTTTGTGGATTTGTAGAATAGTTAACTTAATCTGCCCCAACCTTCCATGTTAAGAAAACAAAACACCACCACCACACACACAGACATGAACTCAGGGGATTGAAGCACTGGGCAGCAATCATTCCCAAAGGATACTGTAGACATGAAGCCCAAGAAGTGAAGTAATGTCTTCCCAGCATACTCCCACTTCTTGTGCACATCCAGCTGACACACTTGTCATGACCCGTACTGATGACCCACTCTGATGTCAGGCAGAAAATAATAGCAGACACTCGATTCTGATGAGCTGTGGGAAGAAGAGATTCTTGATAGTTTTTCCTAAAACCAAATCATCCTTATAAACAATAATTCAGACGGAGTGAAAGTGATACCAAAAAAAATGCACCACAGTTTTCACCATCATGATACACTTGCTCCCAGGCTGCATTAAAAGGCTAGCATTGTTCTGTTTAAATGAACAGAATAGTTTTAATAGTTTAAAAATTCAATCATGTTAGACAGCTGATATAAATCCCTTTTTTCTCCCCTATAGACAGAAGCAGAGTTCACCCCTGGTACTTGAAATGCTCTGGTTAGCAAGTAAGCCCTCAGCTTCCTCTGTTAGCCCAGGACTTCTGGAAAGCAGTGTAATACACATAAAATCTTAATTGCTTTCTCTAAGTGCCTTTTTTTCCCCCTCATGTGGGTTATGGTTAGATCCATTCCTTTAAGTACTGAAAATGATCTAGTCCTGGGCCTTCAGTTTGCTCCCTGTGATAGTAAACAAGTGTCACCAAGACCTCATCTTAGTTGAGAATGCTGCCACTAAGCAAGAAGTTACAGGAATGTCAGAAAAAACCTCCCTGCCCAGCAACACACATTCCCCCAACATGCAAGCACTTCACCTCGGGCTGCCAAGTCATCCACCTTAGCACAGAGAGGATCTTGTTGTTTAGGAACACAATATTTTCTTTATAAGCAAGAACATTTATTTCTGTCTGTATCAGGCAGTTGCAAGATAACTACCCTAGATAACAAGTGGCAAAAACAACATCTCCATAAATATTATTCCCAAATACCTGAAAAACACTCTTTGTCATCCCTTTCACTCTCCTAGACTATAAAGGAGGCAATGATTCTTACATATAGCTAGAAATAGCCTTTTCTCAGTGTTTATAGAAAATAAAGATAGAATTTGCAAATACCAAAACACACCTTTAGAAAGCTCTAACATTCATGTAGACTAGCTGCTCCACCTGAAGAGCAAGATTTGAACTTTTACTAGTTCTGGCTCATTTCACTTGCAGACTTAAGTGATAATGATTGCAATTCTGAGACTTAACTGACTGATGATTATTCAATAATATAACATTTCTCTTACGGCAGTCATTCTCAACTAACTTACAGCTGGAAGAACAGTTAGATTTACAGCATATTTGGCCTTGACTCATGTGATGGTTCTGAATTTTCTGAGCATTTTAGAAGTCTCCCCTTGACACAGCTGTTAGTGTAGACGCTAGTTAACAGTTTACCTGGATAGGTCTTCACAAAGTTTATCTTATTGAAGTCCTCCGAAACATGAAACTCCTAAAACCAAAGAAGTGGGACAGTTACAAGAGATACACAAAAAGATAGGCAAGAGATTGACTAAAAAAACTAACAAACAAAAAGTGATTTCACAATCCAGAACTTGCATAGCCTGCCAATGTATCTTACTAAAACCTAGAAACTTCTTGCACTGAAGCACAGGAAACTGAGAAGTCAATCACAAGCTAATGTTCAGATTTATACCAAACTGCTGTTTTTGAGAAGCAACATGTTCACAGAACCCTGTTCACTGAAAGGAAAATATAGAAAGCAGACGTCATTTGTTCTTATAAGAACAAGCAAAAACTATCCTGCAGTATTTTGCATTTAAGAATCTGAGACTTCATAAACTTCAAAACAACTTTATATGGGTGTTCTTTACTGATTCTTTAGATCTGCAGAATTTTTAAAGGTCCTGTATTATAATTTTTAGTAGTAAAGTACCGCTACTACTGACATTCCTTTTGTACTCTTGCTCTTTCTAGGACAGTTATTATGTTGGTCTTATCTTCACAGAAAAAGGAAACCACTAAAACATCTGGGAGTCCCCTCCTTTCCCAAGGAAAGCAGGGAAGGGACACAGGCCTACTTTCTATTCTGCCACATGCATCCTCCCTCCAGGAGAGGGAGAGAAATTAGAGCAAGAGGCTAATGGGACAGAAGAAAGACTTCCCAGAAAAGAAAGTCCACGTATTTCCTCTACCCACTCAAGGCAAAGTGGGGGGGTGTTTGGAAGCCAATCCTGATTCTTGTTACTTCAGAGCTAGAGGGCTGAAATTTCCACAGCCTACAGCAAGGAAATCCCGATACATCCGCAGTGCTCAATGCAGGCAGATCTGTATCTCTGGCCAGATGCAGGCTAGCTCCAGTTCATAAACCCTGTCCTTACACTATCATGACACTCTACCCACCTTAATGTCCTCCTCAAAATAACTCCCTGAGGAAGAGTAGCTCGGACCCACTGCAACCCTGCTGTCTCAATGCTTTCTTGAGGCCAGCTGACTCTGATCTAGCCAGAACCACTCTGTGTTTTTGCCCTATGCCCTAAGCGTACGGCCAAAGAATTCAGCCATTTACTAGCAGCTCCTTTCCAAGGGGAAGGGAAAGAAACAAGCTATCAGCTCGCCAGCAACATTCGATGCTCATGGACATCTAAACAATTCTAATCTGCATGCTTAAGAAAAGTTACAGCAACTTACCATGATAGCTCCGTTATCCTGGCCTACAAATATTCGTCTGCTGTCGTGATGGTAAGCCATAGCTGAACATGGAGCTGTCAAAAAAGCAAACACATTAAAGTTATTGAAATACAAGCACTAGCAAACACGACAGTTATCACCACCAGTTTATTTTAGTCAGAAGCAAAGCAGTTTAAGGTTAAGAAGTTTGAGGAAAGTTAATCTGCATGAAGAGTGCCCCTTGTTAAGTCAATTTATTTTCCATCTGGTAGGCTAATCAAAGATACAGTACCAGAGTAAGGCAGATGCATCCCCAGGAACCTTAGACAGATTTGATCTCCAGGCATAGGGGAGGGCTGGATGCTTAGCTAGCAACAACAGCATGTACTTAGATTAAGAACTTGAGCACCATACAGGATCAGTTCTCTGCATCTATATCTTTAAGGAGACTCATGTGATTACATACGATCTATTTCACAACAGAAAGTATCCAAATACCTACTTACATTTTTGAAATGGAGAGCTAAAATAGGCACAGATGCAATGAGAGGGGAAGTACAAGGAAGTGTCCTAATGAGGATTTCACAACCCAATCTTTCAGTAAAGAACGTCCTCACTAAACCTGCAAATTGCAAGAGCCTTAGGGATATGGTGTTCTGATCTAACACCATCTTCTCCAGTGCCCTCAGAAACATGTGGCCTTAAAAGCGTTTCCAGAGATTTAAAATAAGATAGGACAATCTGGATTACTACAATGGCCATACTGCATAAGGACAAATAAGTGTCTTGCAACTAGTAAAGGCAAGCTTATTTTATAAAAGGTTGTTAAAACACAATCTGAATAGCCTATTTAAAGGCTTGATAAATGGTGCAACTGTTGTTATTTAGATGAACTAGTGGAAAGTGGGGAGGAAGGGAAGGAGGAAAAACAATTATGGCTCACATTTCCAATTTAGATCTAGACTCTTCTGTCTGTAGCTGAAGAAACAAAACATCTCAGAACATCTGATCCAACTCTTTGGTGTTCATTTAACCTCTCCGTACAAGTTTCTTCAGAAATTGTTACTCTGAATACTTTATCCCTTGTTAGGCTGATGTTTCATCATTACATTCCATCTGCTTATTTATGGTATGTTCCTAGGCAACAACTGTATACTAAAAAAGATTACAGCAAAAATACTAGGCTAAATGATGTTTTAAAGAAAAAAAAATCTCTCAACACTGGAGCTTCTAATCAGAAGTAGTTTCTTAATAATTTAACACCTCAAAACACAGGTACATATACTTTGTGGTACATGGGACATTCTCATGTCAGAACTTCTAGTTAATGGTTTAAAACATTCACGTATTCAGCAGATGAGTTATTACACCAATATTAGACAGCTACAGCAGCTGATCCATACAGAGATTTCATTTCCGAAAAATTTAATTTCTGATAGAATGCCACCTTAGATCTTATCAACTCTCAGATAAAGTTTCCAAATTCAAAATCATCAGTGCTTGAGGAAAGAGGGAGGCATTCTCCTACACCGAACACGCTGTCACGTTACAAAGTGTCTGCGCGATGCTTAGCCATCACTTACCACCACCAGCACTTTACTTACACGACATAGTGTGATAGATGCTGGGCCAGTATTGCCCACTGTCTCTCTTCAGCCATACTCGGATTGTTCTGTGTTGTGGAAAGATTAAGGAAGACAGTTATAAACATGTGTATCAGTAACCAGCCAAGGCTCCAATCTTCCTAGCCTTTTGCCTACTTTAACAGGGAGAAACAATACTAATAATAGTCAATCTTGGATGCCAATGAGCTTCCTTCAAAGCTATTCATGCACTGAGTTTCAGTTCACCTCAGAAACTGCTACACGTTGCATCTCTTGAATTTTATCCTTAAACTCAGTCTGACCAAAGTCACATTCAAGTCACATGAACTTCACTTTGGCATAGCAAACTGTAGCTTGTTTTATATGGTACATATATATATATACACAGACATATTTATATATATATATAAAAACACATACGATATTTTTAAAAGACATCTCAAACCATTCTCGTACGGAAGCTTTGAAACTCTGAATGTTTGCAGCTTTTCTTATCAACTCATATTTCAGCAAACCAGAGAGCAAATACTAACAGCAGCACAGTAATCCTCTTGACCAACACCTCCATCTCAAGAGGTGGGCACAAGGATCCACGGGGAGCATCAAATAGTTTGATATTAATTCCTTTAAGCCATCCCTCCAATAGCTCATGTAGACATCCAAAGGACAAGCACTGTTAGCAGCACTGTTATTTAGGCCTGCACAAAGTGCAAAATACAAACAGGACTGATTATCTGATCAAATGGGAATTGAAAGAACTCACCAAGACAACACACACAGCTTGCTAAACCTCTTTATAACACTGCTTTTAGTTTATAATATTCCAGAATTTGGCTCTGCAGAAGGAAGAAAACTCTCTCAGAAATATTTAGTATTTTATCACTCTCATGACTGTTAAGACTTCGGGAGAAGGGACAGGACAGAATCAGTACGGAAACAGGTTATCATCTATTAAAATCATTCCTGCAATAAACACATTTGAAAAGAACCTACATCAAAAAGCTAAGGGCACTCAAGTGAACAGGATTAAGGCTATTTTAAGTCTATTTTAAGCAACTCCTCTGAGCCATTGTTTGTGTTCCTTGCTCCAGTCAGAAGTTCCGAAGTCCAACTTCCTCATTCCCAAGTGGACGCCTAACTGCTCTGTAAATACTTTATCAAGAAACACTTAAAGAGTTTTCACTGAGATGAGTTGTTCTATTTTTGACTTAAAAATAATAGTCTACAATTTAGAAGTTTTTAGGATATATCTTGTGCCAGGACTAGAACTTTTCAGGACGGGTTAAAAAGATACAAAGCCAGAATGCTACCTTCGTAAGTCATTTAAGGATCTTTCTTTAGAAGACCACTCAAATGCAACAAATCAGACAGTGCCTGCCCTTAACATACTACTTTTTCCAGCAATATCAGCAGAGTGAAGCACCCACTGCCTCGAAACAACCAGATTTTCAGCTTTTGAAGTGAGTCACATCAGTCTAGCAGCAAGTGCACGTTACCCTGGCCCACCAGTTAACTTCTCCGTATTAAGAACATCTCTTTCAGGAGAGTCAGTTCTCTCTCCTTATCATAATCCACCCCCCGCCTCGTGGTCAGAATGCTGAATACTTCAGAGAGCAACTGTCATTTCTTAGTAACATGAGACAAGGAAATAAGTTTCCAAGTCAACCTCATAAATAGTGACTGCAGATTTTATAGCTTTTTTTTTTTTTTTCCTGCAAGCGGCTTCATCACACTCACAAATTTTAATGTTTCAAAGGGCAGCTTCCAGCCAGACTAATTCGACTCGCTGACTTCAAACCAAAATGTAATTATTTTCACTCTAAACACACTAAAAACAGTTACCATAGCAATTTGAAAACATTGCACTCAATATCCTGGTGGATTTTACTAATCTAGGAATTGATACCAAGGAACAGAGTAGCATAACACTGTTGTTCTAAGCAAATAATTTCCTGAGGGTACAGTTCATACTGGGATCATCAAATCCACAGTCTTTCAATGAAGTTGAAGGCCTAAGCAAAGAGCTGCAAGAGTCAAGGAAATTAGCTCCCGAAAGCCTCTTATTTTGGTTTAAGATTTAGATTTAACTCGTCTCACTCTTGCAGAGACAGGCTGCCAGACAGCTTTGTATCTAATTATATAAAGCTGTGACTCTGCAAAACTTGGTAAGATTGCTTAGCAGCCACCAGCTAACAGCACATGCCAGGACTGCACTTCTGCCTGAAGCCCTATCCCATGCATCTCTTCCGCTGCATTTCCTTCGGTTAGGACAAGTTTATTACATACCAATTCTAACCTGAAGGACTAGAGGACCCCTTCAAATAATGACATGTCTGTAATCTCCTTTTACCAGCAAACGGTTATTATGAGAACTAACAGCCTAACACTGGAGCCTTTTGTGCTCCCCAAATCCTAGTCTAGCTTCTTTATGTCATGGACAGGCCTGCACTCAGTACCCGAGACAGCCGCCTCCCTCTCGCCCGTACTTAGGCCACTCTGTTAAGGACCTAGAAAGACACAGGTTTCTTTGGCAGTCTCAGTAAGGGTCTAAAATGCCCAAACCTATTAATAACCACTCAGACAAAATTTTTAAACAATGTGCAGATTAAGGTGGCAGAAGGAAGTAAACAAGAAAAAACAAACTTCTAGCTTCCCCAACATTGCCTAGAAAGCATGCACGTTCATAGAATAGTCATTTAAAGTTCTTTTTTGAAGTAATATTAGAGTATTTAGGAATTCATAAAGCCACAGTCCATATTGTTTAAAGGATTTTCATTGTTTCTTAACTGGCATTTCACTTACAGAGCAAGCACAAAACAGTTTGCTTGAGGAAAAAAACAAAACCAAACCAGGGTGAACAGGGGCAGTCGCCTTTCTGTGTCCCACCAGTATTGGTAGTTCACCACATTTGTCTCTGAAAGCCAAATACCCCGATCAGGGAGAAAGCAGGGACAAAGCCAAACACAGACAAACAGCAGCTCCTGTTTTGAGAAGTGCATCTTCCTAGTACCTTCAAACCACTAACAACCGCTTTCCTATCTGGAATCTGTGATTAGCAATTGTTTTCCTAACAGGAAATGAAGATTCTATTTTCCTGGCAGTCAAAATAAATCAGGAGTATTTAGGTTGATTTTGTCTGTGTTCCCAAAACACCATTAGGAGTCTGGTTTAACCGCAGTGCAAGCAAAATCAAGGACACAGCTTGTAATTGACTCTCTCTGCTGAATTTCTGCTCACTATAGCATTCATTTTGAAAGATATTTAACCTCCATAACTAAAAACCAAACAAATAAAGCTCTAATATTGCAGCTTAAGAGCAGTTCCAATGTGACAGCAGCTCCCAGAAGTCACACAGCATTAGATTTCAAGTATTCGAGGGACTCCAGAGATCACCATGGTAAATATTATCCTACATGCTCATGCTCAGGATCTTTTACACTAGGTTATTATCCCTCAGCATCCCCAAGTACAGCTAGAAAACACTCACCTTGCCTTAGTTACTTGTCTGCAGAGAACAAGGATATTAACACTAAGCCCAGAGATCTGTCTGTAGCATAAATCTGGGCAGCCCACATCGAACTATCTCAGATTTGAGAAAATACCAGTCATTCACAAGCAGCAGTATCTAACTCACAGCTGATATATGAGCTGGCTACCTAGGTTAAGAGGAACATACTGCAAGCAATTCCAAATATTTTCTTGGAGACAGGGTCGCACAAGACCCTAGCTAGGCAAATTCTAAAAAAATAGATTGGAGAAATGAACTACATATTCTTGCAAGCTACTTACTCTTGCCTCCTTTTTTTCATTTCAGATCTTCAAAAAGCTGAGATTTGATTGGTATTTGGAGACGTAAATAGGCATGTTTTCTACTATCAAAAGAATAGATAAATCACCATTCTAGGAAACAATTTACAGTAGAAAGAACTACAATGACTTTAACAAGAGGGTAATCCACAACATTCCCAGAAGTGGTTTCTGCACTGATAATGTTTTCCCCACTGCTTAACTTGTAAGCACATTCCTCTGACTGGTTATTATGAAATACTTGCTAGCATTACTTGTGTTAAGTTTTATTCAAAAATACTTAAGCCCTGCTCTGTTGCTACACTGCTCAAAGACACACTCTGAAGCAGCTCTTTCACTTCCTGAGCTCCACACTTTCCCTGCTGCTGCCAGCAGCACGACCAGTTACGCAGCATTAAAATCTGCACCCCATTTTAGGGGCAAAACAGTTTGATAACCTGTTAAATGTGAGTGAGGGACACGAGTGAACGGGCTTTGATGTACTGCAGGAGGCACCTCAAATTAGAAGCAATACAATGAAACAGTTTCTGATCATTAAAGATCCACATTCCTCCTGTTTTAAGACAGGCAACCAGATCTCAGCCTCAAGATTCAGCCTCAAGTTTTCCTTTGAGACTTAAATGCGACAAAGGTGGAGAACAGCCTCTGCTCAACTTGGACAATTCTGTATCTGACACCAGCCCTTACCCAGATAAAGACGCAGCTGCATCCTCAGCTCCTGTCTAAGCAATGTAAGCGGACAGGCTGCCTGCCTTTAGTGTTTGGCTAACAGAGCCTTTAAGTTTCAACACCAGCATCATCTGCTACAGGGCTTTGCAAAGAAAACAACATTTGTTTCTACCATGAAATTCTGCTCAGATTTCAGCGAGACACTAGCTCTTAAGAACTCCTGTTTCTTCAGTCATGTGCTGCTGCCTGTGAATATTGGGGGGGGGGGGGGGGGGGGGAAGGCATTCAATTAGCCACTCAAGATAAATGTAATAACAATAATCTGTATTTTCACAGACAAGCTATGAGCAGAGACTACTTAAGCCTCTCTCCTGCCAAATTCAACTACTTCTACTGCCTGTTTTATCAGAAATTCAACTAGCTAGCACTTGAAAACAAGTAATCCTTTGCATGCCAAGAAAAAACAAATGCATTCATATCTCTCCACAGGAAGCGGATTTGGACTAACACTTTGATTTCTCCATGGTGCTGATAAGCAGCTTCACTAAGGAAGACTGTGGCTTCATATTTTAATATAAAGTTTATGTTGCTAAGTCACTAAGAAGCATAACAAATATAACTTTGTGCTACTTGAGCATGAGGACATGTTCTACGCATTTTTTTTTTTAAACTTTAATACCAGCTACTGAAAGACCAACAAACTCTGGTAAACTTCATCCAGAGCTGGGCAAGTTTCCACCTTTTGCATAAAAAATAAAATAAATCTCAAAAGCCCATACTAGCAGTAAGCTTAAAGAGTTTGGCATGTGTTGTTATGAGTTGGTGTTTGCTCTTTTTGATTCTCTATTAAATGCCATAAAACCTTGCTCACCAGTTCAGCTACCACCAAGGCTCTGCTGAATCCCAACACTCCCTGTACTTTGTTTCTCATTAAGTGAACTCCTTCTAAACAAACATTCTTGCAAGAATAAGTGCAAGTTCTACTGAAAGACGCCAACAGCAAAGTTGCCTCCACCAAATCACCTCAGGTTTCTAAATCACGCGTGGTTTCTAAACAGCAGCTCTCAAGAGGGATCTCCCAGCCCTCCGCGGGATGAAGGCCCTGGTTTCACACAGCTCGCCTTGCCCCGCAGGCCGCCCAGCCCTCACTGGTGGCCTCCTCCTCGCTGCCAGTCTCATCCCGATCAGCAGCCCGATGCCGGCAGCCCCCACTCACGTGCTGGGGCCAGGCCAGGGCTCCGGGCGCTCTCCCTTGCAGGGGAAGGGCCCTCAACAGCCCAGCACCCTCTGTGCTGCGAGCAGCAACCCAAGCCCCTCCGCTCTGCGCCCCACAGGGGCCTGTTCCCACAGGGCTGGGGGCCCCATTCTCCAAAGGCTTGAGGCTCATTCCCACAGGATTTGGGGGGGGCATCCTTGAAGGTTGGGGATCTGCACTCACAGGGTGCAGAGCCGTATCTCATAGATGGGGGCCCCTTCCTACATGGCTCAGCGAGGCTCCATCCCTGTGTGGTTTGGGATGTGTGAGGGCCTTCCCACCTCTTGAGGGTCCTTCCCACGTGGTTAGGGGTACCCCATCCCTACAGGACTTGGGGGGCCCCCTCCTCGCAGGTTTTGGGCCCCTTCCCGCAGGGTCTTTCTATGTCGAGGGGGGGACACACACGCCCGCAGGCCCGGCCGGCTCCTTTCGGGAGCAGCAGGGGCCGGGTGCCGTGCGGCCGCGAGTGGATCTCGGCCGCCATCTTGCCGCGCCGCCCGCCCGCGCCCGTCACCTGACGCGCCCCGCCGCGCCGTAGCGCTGCGTGTAGCGGCGCCGCCCCGTAGTGCCTGGAGTAAAGCGCCCCTCCCACGCGGCTCCGCGCGGGGCGGGGCCGCCGTATTTTCTGAAGTAGAGCGGCCGTATTTCGTAGAAGAGGAGGAAAAGCCGATATACTTCGGGTGGAGACTCGCTCCCTCCCTGCCGTCTGTCCCCCTGGCCTCGGGGCGCAGCAGGGACGGTGCTGCTGGTAAACACACCTACTTTGTGTGTTTACCACAAACACACCTAGCCGTTACGCTGCAGTCCTCGTGAGCCCCGCTCATTGCCCATGTCCCAGTGGGACCGATGCCATCGCAGGGCAGCAAACAAGCGGATATTCCTGCTAGAATAATTAGCGGGGGGGATGCGGCTGGAGGAAGGATGTGCAATCACTGCAAAGGCAAAAGCGAGGGGGTTTACATCTTTCAAGCTACGACCAGCGTCAGGCCTTTACCCTTCCGTTCTTAGGGTTGCCGCGGCTGTTGCTCACGCGCCCGCGGCA